AAAATTTACAGAAATATATATGAAGTAAAATAATGACCGGAAATTACACAATATGACGTGGTATGGTGTGGCTACTTAAAAAGACAAGAAGACTGCATATCTTTAAGATTTTTGCATTGATTTGGCATCAGATAATACACTAATAATTCTAGCCCGAACCCACGCATAGTGCGCTTGAGCTGCCTGTGTTCTAAAATATAATGACCACAAAGTTGGCTAATTATCCGGAAGGAAAGACCCTTTGCGGTCTCTTAGATTCATCAAAGTACTAAAACTGAAGTCTGTGGCAACTTGTTACAAGTGGGACCACACTAAGACAAGGCAATTTTTAAAGAAACAATTAATTTCGCCAAGGGAAAAAGGGTTCCTATAATCTTGTTCTGGAAAAAATGAGAATCTCATTACTTTTTTTGTAGAATCTCCAAATTTTTCTTGATCAGGGGTTGGCAGGTCTGGGTTTAATACGGAAGTTTAAGATTGCTCATCTTACATCTTAAATCACTCAACCCTCAACAACAATAATAACAACTAAATATTCATTTGTGAAGTAATTACATTTTGTATTAACCCGTTGGTAGCAAATGTTGCGAGGAGGGTCTATACCAATTTAGAATTTACAGTAGCAATACATTCACTGCGATACACACAAATTACCATTAAATTACATCACCGTGTCAAGTGTTGTAAGAGAAGTCATATCAATCACAATGTGAGGAAACAAATATTAAAGGAAGAGAAAAAAAACTCAAAGGAGTAGATTTTTGAAACGCACGAGAAAAATGTTGAATAGGATATTTGAAGGGCATGTGATAATTTTAAACCTTTTTATCGTATGGACCCAGTTCAGTTTGAGCTATGTTTACTGATTTGACAAAAAATGACAAACTTTTGCTGCACTAAATTTTTATCTAAGTCATCTAACGGTAGGCACGGTCTCGCGTATATTTACGATAAATTTCAATCAACTCCTTGATACAAGATTTGGCCAAATGAACGTAAAGGCACTGAAAACGCATCCAGTAACTAAATTGAAATAAAGTGGCGCCCACATGGATGCTTGGTAACCGCGCCACCCGCACATGATTCCTAGAGGGAATGGACTCCGCGGACATGAACAGCATACAGTACTGATACAATAGGGGGAAAAGGCTAAGGCATAAGAAGGCTATTCGCAGGCAAATATTTCACTTATCGCTTTCAGTATGTCAAGTAAGTATTGTTTTTACTTCGATCGGGCGGTTTTGAATAAACATGACAAAAAAAATGACATTTCACAGTAATTTTGCCCTCTGTGTCATACACTTAACATGCAGTCACACATTGCATCAACGCAACTTCAGGCACTGACTTTCTGGCGCAACTCCTAAAAACACGCTGTGATACAAAAGGCAATAAACCACTTGTACTAAGAGGTCATGTGATCAATGCTTCCTTTAAACAATGAGTTGGACTCTTGCTGATACCAAAATTGACAGAGCTCATAAAATTATCTTGCACCCGAAATTTGAGAGGAAACAGATTTAAGGGAGATATTTTGTGGCACTTTTATTTTTCAACATTGGCCGCCATGTTGGAGGGCACACTCTTGCCCCCCAACATAGCGGCCAAAACTACTTTTTGTTTATATATTGTTAAACGTTTGATAGTTACGCTCAGACGTGCTGATGTTACCACGTCATCTTCTCAACATTTTTCTTGAAGTTTAGGTGCAAAATTTGTGTTCAGAAAGAGGCAATTCATAATTTTAAAAATCACATTTTGGTCACGTGACCAGCTATGAACTTACTCATTTTAAGAAAAAGGTGCGGGTTTGAAAAACCAAATCACTATTATTTTGTTTAAGATATGACCCACTTATCGTTTTTCGAAGGCAACTGAATCATATAACTTTCATTTTCATAAAAGCCATGTTACAAGACCTCTTACTGCAAATGGCCTATTAAGTTTACTCGGCCAAAGGCAATTGAAAATACAAATTAGCATCATAATAAAGACTAGATAAACACCTGCTATCAAAGATAGATACCGACAAAAGTCTCAAAGCTCTCAAATCTGCCATTTTGTGTCGGTTTCTGAACAATAAAAGGTGTTCAACTGTCTCTAGCTGCTGGGTAAAAGCGCCGTGTATGGTGCAGGCAAGATGGACGGTGAACTTGCACTGAGTGTTCATCAGTGTTCATTCATGAGCTTTTGCACAGTGTTGTCGTGCGGCAGTTAGGAAATGCATTAATTTTCTAATTTACAATATCTTCCGGAAAGCGACTGGATAAAATCAACATTTGCAAGATAAAAATAATAAAATAAGAATATGAAAAAAATTAATAGATTTTTCACTCTTTAATCTCTTCCTTACTAAAAAAAACAAAGAAAACTGAGACCAAGGAGTTGTGCCTTTCAAACTTGGAAATGATAAATGGTTTATTAAGCTAGTTCGAATAAAGAAAATGAATTATTCCATGGGTTATTGCTTCCACTAAACTTAGGATGATGCGAAAACAATGAGGCTAGGTGATCAGTGGTGAGAGAAATGATGAGAGGCTTATCATGCAAGGTGTTGCAGTAAAGATGCGTTTAAGATACAGAGGCTCAGTGAATAATCATATTTTCATATTTTCAGTGATGTGCGTTTGCTGTAAGACTGTTCGCCTTATTTTTTGTACCTTTGAACGAAAAAGAACAAAGATACGCCATGTTTTGACAGGAAAAGTAGGAAAGATCATTTCAGCGTCAAGGGCCAAATAAAATAATCCGGGAATAATTCTCACAATAAGAACCAAAAATGTGGATACTTTGGCGAATGGAAAAGAAGGAAAGTCGCTCTCCCACTACTAAAATTCCTGTCTTTTGTTATAAAGTGTACTTTTTCTAGAAAAAAAAAAAGGCCGCAGCTTCGAATAAGCAATATACTAGAAGACAAAACCTCTACTCGTCTAATTGCCTCAAAAATGATGCTCTGGGAATTTTTGTATTTCGCTGGCAAAGTTTGCGGTGATGCCAAGGCAAGCAGATCAGCTAACATCATGAAAGCAATCACAAGGGCAAGAACTAATCTTAAGGGTGTGTTTTTTTGAAAGTGCGCTATAAAGAGTTGCTTTATCGGGAGTAAGCAAAACATTTTAAATATTTACATATCACAATTTACAGTTTACATTTTCTATTCCCAATGAGCAAACAAAGGACAAACACCAACAAAAATACTTACTTAAATTGCGGTGAGCTCTGTTCAGGGTTGAAAGAACAATTTAAAAAAATATTGCTCTCCAGTCGTGCGGTTATTTCCACTGTTACTACTTAAAAATTGATAAGATCGGCTCCAAGGGGTAAAAATGCATAATTTAAGACAGAAGGGCAAATTCACTTGAACTTATAGGGATTTGGAATGATATTTGAATTTCGTTACATTTTTTTAATATTGACGCACATTCTTTGGCTGCCGCTCGGATAGGATATACAGTTCGGAGTGGGTATCTTAAAGAGGACCTAATAAAACGCAGAAAATTAAAACGCCTCTTACAAAGAGCAAATAACAGTGAAACAGGAAAATTTTAATAATTTTGGAAGCTTTTCAGGGGCTTTTACTTCACAATATTTGATGGACAGTGACATTGTAAAATACTTGGTTCAAATTATAAAACTTCATTGCCTCAAAGGGTCGTCTTGTGATCTCATGACATCTTAGTGACAAATATGGCATCAAGACAACCTCTAGCATTTTCTATACTAGTAGGTACAATACTAAGCTTTTCAAGGGTCTCCGCATTGTTTCTTATTACTACGTAGGGCGTTGACATTTCAGGCAAAGAATTTTAATTTGCCGTGTTCCGTATTTTTCTATCCTATGCAGAGCTTACTTCTAACGGGACTTTTTAAGATAACTTTTGGGGATTCTAATATCATTTATTTCAAATGACTGCGAATGTTTCAAAACGTCGTATGACGGCAACTTCTGCATTGTACGCATGGTTCATAGGCATCGGCTCAAATAGCCACCTAAAAATAATCCAAAACATAATACTGCGATTTAAATTCAAGCGGCCCTAGCACATGTACATGCTAATGCTGCTGATTCTTGTTGACTTGCATCAGTTAATTAGTTTTTCTGGCTGTGACATTTTAAAGTGCTTCGCACATCCGACATTTTTCAAGTTAAGCCGAAGATTTTGGCGGGGAGAGGAAATTCTGATAGCCCGTAATATTAGCAAACGACATCGAAAAAGAAAGAGACTAAACATGACGCCGAACAATTGACATGATAAACACAATACGCTTTTTGTAACACCAAAAAATACACAATTTACGTTGTCTACAATATTAACCTTTTTTTTTCATAACTGCAGGGAAGGGAAAACTAAGCATCTTGCATCATTAACGGAGTCTAGGCTCAGATGTGTGATGTTCATGTTCACTGGCTGCTACTAGCCTTTTTAGCGTAAATCGAAACTGAAGTTATCTTTCGCTTGACTGCTAAAAGTTGACATATTCACGTTACAGCTGTTCATATCGCTATGAAGAGATTTGGATACCAGGAGGGAGCAAAATGCTCTTCTAAACTCTGATATTCTGATCGTATACAGGATTGGATTTACAAAAGAGTTAGCAAAGAAAAGAACCTCGCAAACACTTCGCACACGCAAAAGTCCTTCTTCGGAAAGCATCTGTATCAGCTTCAATTCCAGAAATGTGAAAAGTACGTATGGTAGCCACACTGTCAAGGAAACTACTGTCACAATCGACAGTGTCACAGTAAGTTTCCTTTCCTTCCTCGCGTGATGGGTAATTTGTTCTGGCTGTTTACTGCAGCGTACAGTAACATAAATCGCAATGTAACTGGCGCAAAGGATTAAAATCGACACAAGAACACAGCCAGCAACCACGTACCAGATATACAAACCAAATAACTTGAAATGAAAAGATGAAACTGTTATGGATGTATATATAACTGAGGCAACCCAGACACCGGCAATCCATTTCTTGTATGTTGACCCTGATAACAGCCGATGTCGAAATGGATTTCTTGTAGCGTGCAGTCTCTCAATTGATATCGAGACCAGAAACACGAGTGAACAACCAAAGAAAAACGTGTCAATCCCGTAGGTGGAAATATACCATTTGTATGTCATTTCTACGCTCCACAGTTTATAAGTGTTGCCGCGACGAAATACACTAGTAGGTATAACGAACGCTCCGATACATATGTCAGTCACTGATAGGTTAATAAGCAGATAGGTGCTGCGTCTGCGTAAACGTCGGTTTTTAATAAAAACGAATATGGTTGAAATATTAAGAACGATGACGAGAACAGCCTCTGCCACAAACAGAGAACACCAAACATACCCCTCTCGGTTAATCATATTTGCTGTTTTATCGCCTGGTTGGGCTGATATTGATGTTGTGCTGTTCTCACTTGCCATAATATTGCTTCTACCTGAAAAACAAACGACAGTAGTTCATAGGTGTAGGCGGCCATTTTCTTACGTATTAAACTGAAACGCGAACGCTTTCCATGTGCGTAGTCAAGGACGAAAATTTTTCGTCTCAGGGTCCAGTTGCTGACAAGATCGTGGATGGATGGGGCTACCGACCGGATAAATAACCGTCCAGTAGATAAGTTCCACAATGCTGCAGTGGGCAATGAGATTTTTAATAGTATTAGTAATTTTCCTGTGAAGAGTTTTTACATATTAAGAGTTTAATTTTTATCATTATTACTATTTACCTTTTTTATTTTTTAAACTATTATTATTATTGTTATTATTATTACTATTATTCAGTAGGGAAACAAATTGTACTACCCATTGGATGGAGATCTATCCGATGCGGTGCATAGCGTTTGTCTACCGACTTAAAGTCAGTTTTGATCAACTCGGGCTTAGTGGTGATAAGTCTAGGGGGATCACATTAGTTGCAGAATCGCACTATGCTGTCAGTATTGTCTCCTTTACTTTGGTTTTCTTTGTTTAGTTTTTCCAAGACTCTATCTACAAAGACAGTAAATAACACAGAATGGAACGGATCACGAAACTTCCAGAATGCCCCGTTTTAATCAGGAAGACGAAAGACTTTCATTCATCAACTGAAATTCTTATCTGTAATTATACTAGAGACCGCCTTTTATTTACCTAGGTACGACAAAAAGACGAAAAATGCTCTGAAAGCGCTTAAAATAAAAGCGAGGTTTAATGCAAACATTAATTACTTTCATCTTCTTTTATACCAGCTTGACTCGTTAAGGAAATAAATGTTCACATGAACTGATGCGGTGCAATTATGGAGAATCTAAAAAATAAGAGACTGCGACTGGTCGGATTTGGTAAAAATGAAAGCTGTAAGCAGTATTTCTTCGAACTTGAATAGCTTATCTGCAACATGTCAACATTTCAGGAAGAATTAAAAAGGCCTCTTAAATCTGTTTCGTTATTTATAATTACTGGCTTTTTTCAGTTTTCCACTGGGGAGCATATTTCCTCAGTTTTTAATTTCTTAAAGTTATGGAATGACGTAAAATGAAAACCACGGTCAATGATGGACTTCTGAAAAAGAAATTTCAATGTCTTCATGGACGAAATTTTCTCCACCTGCAGAAACATTTTTCTCTACTTAATACAGGTTTTACTCTTGAAAAGGAGAGACGAATAATTCTTACCAAACGGTGTCGACTGTCTTGATTAAAGGAGTGTCGATTTGAAAACAACGTGCAGCGGTTTCAACCCCCAGTTTAAATTGGAATGACAAGTCCTTTTTCGGTGGTATCTTAAATAATACATTAGCGTTAATTCGTTTGATAAGCCTATGGCTACGGAAGTAAATTTTCAGGTATTCAAAGACTCATACATTAAATTTGAGTTTAAGTTGTATTTTAATCATTTATAAGGGTTGGAGATTAATCTTCGCGCGTTTATATCGGCAAATTAACGTGCGCGCTAGGTGTAGATTAAATAGCCCCGGAATTGCGAGCTCATTCTAAAAGGCGTCAAAGACAACAACTGCCTTTTATATGCCGAGAACTAGAAGTCTCGAACCCTTTTAATATTCAATCTGACTTTCTTTGATTAACAAAATGTATGTTAAACAAAAGCAGCAGCAATCAAAAGCACGGAGATGTAAAAATTTAAGTGCTCGGAAAACCATAAAATGGTGAGCGTGGGAAGAGAAGCCATTAAAGTACACACCACAATGGTGCGTTTAAACCACATTTAATACTTCAATAAAATTAAAAAGATCTCAGTTATTTTCCAATGTGAAATTCCCGTTTTAATTCGAAATTTCCAATGAAATGACCAGTTTTTCGTGGTCTTGGGTTGTCGGCTCAACGGTGTTTTCATGAAGTTTGCAGTGGCTTAGGTCTTTACGCACAATTGAAAACTGCATGTATAAATGTGGAAATTGAGAGCTAAAACAATAAATACAGCAGCGGATAAAGATAAATAACTGCAGGAAAGCCTAATTTCTGGTAAATAATACATTGCATTTCAATCAGCAAGCCTTAGGATTTCATACAGGTGTGTGATTGATTGGCACACGTAGATGTCAATTTCGGGCTTAAGTCAAGATAAGACTCAATTAGATTATTGAACAGTCACTAGGTTGTTCGACCTCACGCTTTAGCTAATGAACCTTCTTCCATTAGAATTCTCTAGAAAAAAAATTGACAATGATTTTCCAGCAGGGCAGCTGTATGAGACCAGGCGGCCTCTGAGATATTCATGATTGAGTGCGTGTACTACAGGGTCTTTTGTCATATTCCAAAGTGGTTGCTAGGGATTCAGGACTTGATAACAGGGACCTGAGTACAGCGACGTAGTGTTTGGGAAGAAAACCCATGATTGTCCCATCCACTCCAATGCTGGTCAAAGGATCATGACGATGTCATTCTGTTGCTTCTAGAATGTTTCGTATGTTGCTGTCGGAGGATGTTGATTCATCTTCGTCGTTCATAAATTTTTTTTTTTCAGATTAAGCTAGAACATTTCATACCATCCACAAGATAAAGATGAATATTTCCATTGTCCTATTACCGCACTGAATGGGAGTCCGACTGTGAGGGGGTATAAGGCCAGTTTACCATCATTATTTTGATGCTAGCGGGACTTCTAACGTAATGTTTGAAAGAGTCTGGACATAGCGGTCTAAAAGGCCTCTGATGAGTTCACTAGTAGAAAGGAAACGGGCGTATGTCAGGCTAGTCATGTTACAAACTATTTTTGTCCAAAAAATCGTTCAGTATTCGTGATCCATTTGGGAACTACTCTCTAAGGGGCTTCTTCCTTATTTGTGTATTCCACTGAGTCAGCAGGGTAGTATCAGCTGGTATTTTGACGAGAGCGAAAATGTTATGTGTGATTCAAAGAAGAACCTAAAGCCTGGTTTTCATATGTCGGGAAAATCCCAGACGATCAGGGATTTTACTGTTTCCCAACTGTCCTGATTCCCGACTCTCCAGATTTTGCCGATTAATGAAAACTGGAAACCGTACATATCCCTGATCGTCTGGGATGGACGGGGACAAATCTGGAGAGTCGGGAGCGTTTCTATTCTCCCGACGGGTCCCAGATTTCTGCGATGGTCGGCGATCATTCACAACAAATGAAAACTCAAATTTGTGCCGTCGAGGACGTCGGTGATGGATTTCGCTCATTACCAATCCCCTAAGATGCTGGGCACCAGTCCCCTATCACACATAAAAAAGGAAAAATAAAAGACACTCAAGTATGGGCCCATGATGTGGGAGCTGAAGCAGAGATACAATGGTTACAGGGTTGAAGAGTACAACGTAATAATTGACGTACTGGGTGGTTACTCTAAACACCTAGAGAAGTTGGTGAGGAAGCTACCAGGAGCGAGAGCACGGGGCGTACTTGAGCGGATGCAGAAGTCGGTCATCTCAAACACTTTGAACAAACACTTTAAACATTGCCAGAACATTTAAGATAAATACTTAGATAGGGCGCTTAGGACACCAGATGTTAGGTCTTTTTTTTCTCCAGAAATCCAGAAACACCAGTGGTTTTTACGTAGATTTTATAGAGTATAAGAGATTTATATTATTCTAAATAGGCTTTTAGTAGAGATAACCACATTATGATGACCTCGTGTAAGTTTATAAGAGATAATGAGAGTATAAAAACTGAATAATTTTCTAAATAGGCTTCTAGTAGAGATAATTATATCATCATGTCTTTGCGTAGGTTTTACAGAGTATAAGAATTTAATAATATTCTAAACTGGCTTTTTAAGTAGAGAGATTCATATCCTTATGCATATTAGGATTGTATTAGGTTTCGTACGGAACTTTTTTTACTTCTAAGTATAGCTTCTCAAAACATTATCATGAGCATATCGGATAAAATGGCCGAAAAAAATAAATTAGGTCTAATAAATAGAATAAATCTTTTGTGTACACAACTTAATGTTAATAAACAATCAGTTAATTTTAAAAAACCCTTCTACTTTCCTATCCAAAGCTGAAAATAATTTGTCAAAACACCTAAAAAACCACCAGCTAAATTTGATGCGAACAAATAAAAAACTAAAATTATACTCCATCTTTAAAAATGAAACAAATTACTCTGAATTCATCAATCATATCCGGAATCCTGAACATAGGCGTGTAGCTTCCAAATTTAGGATAGCCTTGAAATCATAATTTATAGAAACTGGAAGATTTACAATTCCCAAAACTCCTTAAGACCTTAGAATCTGTGATCACTGCAACCTAAATTCGGTTGAAAATGAACTGCACATATTATTTCACTGTGATCTATGTAATGATTTGAGAAAGACTCTTTTTATTAAAAGCAACGACCGAAGTACATTATTTACAAATTACAATATCCATGATAAAGTCTGTTTTCTTTTTAACAATACTGATTCCCATAACAGCAGGCAAACTGCTACTTCCGTCTTTCAAGCATTTGAAAGACGAAAGAAACGTTAATTAATTCTACCATTCCATTATATCTTCATTTCCTTAAATTTAACTGTTTATTGTTATTTTAATCGGTAACACCTGTACAAAATGGGAATACCGAATAAACTTGTTGTTGTTGTTGTTGTTGTTGCTTCTCATATGGTGTAGGTTACGTTATGTACCCTGTACTACTCATAATGTCGACAGCATTCCAAAGTTTTATACTGCGAGATAATAATCAATAAACAATTGGACTAACTCTGCACTAACGGGGCTAAAAATAGCATTTTGTTGAAATGCGCACAGCTCGAATCCATGAGTTTTTAAGCAAGACATGGTTGGCCAAAAATCCTTTTGAGACTAAATCTTTAAAAAATTTTCTTCAGAACTCTGGGATTTATTCCCATAAGATACAATCGGCGCACCAAAGATTAAAGTGCTCAGACGAAATTTCGGTCACACTTTGTCCTTCTACAAATAAGGAGGAGGGGGGGGGGGGGGGTGGGTGATGAAATATATATTTGCGATAAGTTTTGCTTTACATACTGGCGGCTCAGAGACAGTTGTATAGTAGTGTGTAAACTATTTACTTACTAGTTGGAAGCCTTCTTTTACTTACTCTGATCGATTTCTTTCAGCAGTACAAAGCGATGCAAATATGAATATAACACATTGTTTACAAACCAGCGTCGAGATGTGCCAAAAATGTCATGCCATTTACGATTCAATATACTCATATTGATTTAATCAATTAAGGTGTAATAGCAGGCTAGTAAGATGAGCGTGGTTTTTTCCAATGATTAGCTAACTGAAGAATTAACCCACACTTTAATTTAAAGACTGCAAGCAGCAAATGAAGTCCTGGCCTGATCGGGCAACTGGCGACCTTTTTTTCCAACTATATATAGTAAAACTCATGTTGAGCTTTCACCTTAAAAGAATGGCAAAATGAACGCTTAATACTGGTTGACTATTGAAAAGAAATAGGTAAAAACAACGAAAATTTCTCTATAGGACGTTTGTGAGTGATCACTTAGACCAGGTTGCCTCAGTATACAGTGTATACTATATACTATAATATAGGTTTGACTGTATATCGATCGGTCAAAATTGTTTTGATGTTGAAGAGTAGGGGTTAGCGGTTGACGCCGACATGGTGAAGCAAAGCAATAACAGAACAATATATTAAAAAAAGCAATATTTGTCTGTTGGTGTATGTACCGCCGATTCACAGAAAAATTGGAAATTCCTGCTCCCTTTCAGAGAGTCAGTGTTTCACACTTTAATGTAAACTCAATGAGATGATTCTCTATGATAACAAATAGGTAAACGAAGCTACACAAGCTAATGAGCTGGCACTTTCTTTCATGTTTTCATAAGATGAATATCATTCACCGAATTGCTTGGGACAATATTTCAGTGTGTTTTTCTTGAGTTGATGGTAACAGGGGCACCCAAAGACGATTTTCTCCTAAATACATTGAAAACCCTTTTTAGGCTATCCAGAGTACTTTTACATCTCTAGAAATGCATTCTAACCTGTGTTATAAAATTTGTATCTGTTCGGTCACAAGGGCTTCAGTATTATTTTCCCGAAAATTTTATATGCAATTTAATGTTTTACGAAAGTGAGAATTTTTCTGATTCCTCTCTCCATCACATTTTTGAATCCCAAAATTTTAGGTTTCCTTTTTTCTATGAAAAATAGCCTAAATTGGAAAGTGAAATGTGAAAAATTAAACTTCATAAAATCGTAGGGAATTTATTAGATAAGCGTCGCAAAATGGACGTTGATGGAACGGTAGTCTAGAATTTTTTACCCGTCCTCAAGCAATAGAAAATTCTAGGCAATATTTCCTTCTCCGAACAGATATTTATCAGAAAACAGTCGTTGGGTGCCCCTGATCGCAATATTGCTCGGTTAAAATGCCTACACTATTGTTTACAAAACGGTGTTTACAAAGTAATTTAAAACTCGTACTTAAGTCTATTTGGTAGCCTTCTTTTGATTTTAATTTCCACTGTTTTTTCGATCGACAGTTTGAAAAAGAATAAACAAAAGAATAAAAACGACTAAAAATTCGACATTACTAGTCAAGAAGCTTATCACAGTGATCAAATTTACTTGTCTAATGCGCATGCGGCTTAGCCAGGATTTATTATATTGTCTGTTTTCTTTTAAACACCTCTATCCGCTGAGGCAACGTTATGGACATGTCTCTATATCATGAAGAAATTACTTAGAACTAATTAGAAATTGTACCTCATTTATTCCAATTCACAGTTGTTTTAACATTTTGCCGTAGAGACGATTTTCACACTTAGGTATACCCGGCTTTCTGATTACACTGTCTGTGTTATTTCAATTAAATGAACCCTTTGAAACGGTAATTAATAAAAATGACCAGTTTGAACATCTTGGGCTAAATGTTCCAGGTTTGTTGGGTGTCCACGTGTTAAGACGCAGGTCAATCTGTTAAAAGAAAAGTCACTGACTTTTCAGCCTTCATTTCCCTGATTTTTCCGCATAAACATCAGTAAAAGAGAATATTCAGTGAACCCTAAAGTTAAATTCAATCAGGTAGATTGATTGACCGATGACTAATATTTTCCTTCCGTTATATACAGGTAGAAGTATTAAAGATTTTTCATGTTGGACTTTTATGTATTACCGCTATAATAAACAAAACAAAATATTTCTATGCAAAGAAATTTGCTTTGCAATATAATAACCTTTCCCGAAGCGAAGTATCAGACTAGATGACCTTGGATACACAATGGCTTTTCTTTTATACATAAAAGCATCGGAAATCAAATAGAAATTTTTTAATATTTAGGGACGTTTTATTTAATTATTTTGTTTTCATTGCTTCGTACTAAAGAGGCTAACTCACAACCCGTTACCCTATTACCGTGGTTTGTTTTTAGGTATTAGTTACCTAGAAGCATCGACAAAAGGATTACGTGTTTTTTTTCTCAAGTGTTCAATATCGTTTAAGAAAATGTCACTTTAAAGAAAATGTAGATTTCCCAGCGTTTATTTGTTTTTATCAATAGACTCTTTCTTAACTTGATTCATCTTCTATTTCAGATCATTAAACTGTGTATAAAAAGGTTTTACAAAGGAAAAAAAACCCTAAAACACAATGAATGCTCTCAGCTTTTGAGCGGTCGCCTTAATATAAAGAGGAAATAGCAATTAAATTTCAAATGGGAAACAATATTCGCTGACACCGCCTTCTCTCTCTACGAAGCAATTTTATTGGCTCGTGAAGACTATATCAAAAGCACGAAACATTCTTTTGCTATGAAAAAAGCAAGGAGTGAACAAGGTTAGAACTGCCTCAAAGCTGTACGCAAAAATGAAGAAATTGCTGCTTTCTTTAACGGTACGTTTCAAAAGTGTTGGTTAAATTATTTGTATTTGTTGTATTGTATATAGGAACGTAAGGGTTCAAAGTGTTATATACCAAAACCTTAAGTGCTTCTTTTTTCTAATTTATTACTAAACCTTCATGCACGATAGATTTAACAAAAGAGATCTTTGATCTCCTTGGTATCTTCAAAGAGCTAAGGATCTATTGGCAAATAATTGTGCGGAATAACTGCGGTGCATATACAGCTGCAACCTTTGCACAGACATCAAAACGACATAAATATCAAGTCGTTTTAGGTTTATTTATTGCATAATGTTATCAGCAAATTTTTAATGAGCTTTCTTCGCTGTAGGAATTTAGCTGGCATGATGAGTGAAAACCAGGTTCTCAAATAAAAAAGATCTTTCAGTATATATATAAAAGCACTCTCTGTTTTAAAATGTAGTTTATTGTAAGTTTAAAAATTGACCAAAGTCAGAAAGGATTTCATTCAAATGACTCCTCAAGTCTCGATCGACGTCTATGTTTCGAGGCCGCAAATAAACGACAAATAACGTCAAAAATGCAATTCCTTTATTATTCAAGCAAATAAAGTTAACAACCCCAAAGTCAACAATGATTTTTGGAGGATTTTAAAATACGAATAGAAGGTGAAGGGCCTGAAGGTGCTGTCATTGTAGAGGAAGGCTGATTTCTTTTCTTGAATATTCTACATTACTCCTTCAATCAGAGGGTGGATTAAAGTCTTGCTAAAATTGAGCCTACTTCGGATACTTTGTTGTCTTTGCCTCTGCTGCGAAAAAAAAGGAAAAAAAGCTCCAAACTTTTGCACATTTAGCGAGTGAGCTAGTGAATTTTAATGAGCTAGCTACTTGTCAGATCTTATTCTTAGTTGAAACAATGAATTTCGTTCTATAAAAATTTGTATTCTGGAACTCTAAGTGCATAAGCTTTCTGATCTTTCCAGATGTTACTAAACAATTCCTGACGGCTATGGCTAAAATCATAATTTTCAGCGCTGGGTGCACTGTTGAAGGAGTGTGCAATGCATTCCTTGCATTGTTTGAATAATCAATTAATATAGCAGAATGTGCGACCTCGCTTCGCCGCCGCCATATTTTCATTCTGTCTGACCTCTAGATGGATTAATTTGCTCTCGGTGGTCCCGAGTTCATATCCTCAACCATGCTTTTAAATAGCCCGCTGGTTTGCCTCCGGCCAGTTGGGATTCTTAACTCTGTCAAGTTTGATTTAGAGAATTAGTTTCAGGAATTTGCTCGGCCCCACTAGCATTTAATAGAGCTATAAATACTGCCGAGTGCAAATAACGGAATTAATTATTTATTTATTTATTCTGCCATTCTACCCTCGTACGCTATGTTACGCTGCGATCATCTCTCTTATTATAGTTACAATTCCGTTCCAACAAAGCCAAACCATTTGTTATGATTTGACAGAATGTACAGTTCCAGTCCGAGGAAACAATTGAAAACCTCGCACAAATGAGCCAAGTCTTTCTTGACAAAGGAAAATTTGTGCGTAGGAAAACTTGAGAACTTTATCCTTCTCAAGGAACTTGTGGATGTAGTTTTGCAACGAGAAAGTTTGATTCCCTCCTCGCAAATAAAAAAAGAAAACGAAAAAAAAAAACACTAGCTCTTGCAGATGGGGCTTATAATAGAATTTCGATATGGTCCATAAATTAGTAACCTCTAGTAGTTTTCACATTCAAATATCCATTTTTGATGTTGATAATAAACTCCAATAATTCATTTATTTGACAGCTGTTGTTGGCATGTTTGTTAACCTCAGAGTCGGCTCACATTCCTTATAAGGGCTTCATGAAAGACCTTGATGAATTGGTAGAAAGCAAGTACTTCTTTAGACCTCAAGAACAACGTAAGTGTCGTATTAAGAGTAGCAGTAACTGTTGGTTAGGAAGGGTGGGCGAGCATGTGGATTTACCCTAGAGATGGTCGAGATGTGATTGATGAATTGATGAAAACCGTCTTCATTATGAACTAGACTCGCGTGTGGGCGACGTCACTGGGCTGCCCGACATAAAACCTGTGTTGAAAACGAGAAGTTTTCTAAAACAGACAGCCAACAGCTTCTGGCGGAGCTCGCTCGCGCGCAACAGAGCACCATGGGTAAGAAAATTTGGAAAATTGTCCATCTGAGAAAATTTGGTATCACATTAGATCTTTTACCTGTCTTCCTATTAAAACATACTGTTAAGTTCCCATGGTAGCGACCCTAGTTACTTTCGGAATTAGCAGTCTTCGGGGTTCGTTACTCTCGGGGGGTCGTTATTTTCGGGGACCAAAAACCGACGTCAACATCGATAGGCTACCGGACTACCGAACGGGTGAATCAGCCGTTGTAGAGGAAATCGAATTCTTCTCTGACTCAGGAGCGAGGAAAGCTAAAGTTCGTGCGTTTAGTCCACGACAAAAAAAATGCGTTTTATAGTCAGGAGCTCTCCGGGTGATGGGCTCGTCTTATTGTGCAGTATGCAGAACTTTCAGTTTTACCTTGAAGAAACGTTCATGTTCTTTATATGAACTTTATATCAGTATCGTTTTTACATTGTGCAATCTGTGAACTGATGTTAACGACGAATGATAGTTCCAGGCATGCCGTTTTTTCCTTGTTGTCAAGTGCCTTTTCGTGATAAATTTTTAAATGCACGAAGATATTAATATTGTTCATTAAAAGTTTGACTACGGATTCCAATTAGAAAACATTAAAGGCATAAGATTCGGTATGTTTATAATTGAAAAAACGTAGTCTTGATACTTTTTGGGGACTCACTACTTTCGGGGGGGTCAAAACTTTCGGGGACTCTCTATTTTCGGGATTTATTAGAAGTCCGAAACTTTTGAAGTTACTTTCGGGGGGTCGCTACTATGGGAACTTTACGGGAGCATGCAGGAGTACTCAAAATGCCGCGCACTACCCTGCTCCGCATCAGATTTTTTCCACGAATTTGTAACGAGATATTGAATATGCAGTTCATTCGTTCATGCCCGGAATCTCAGCCCACGTTGCTTGGATTTTAAATTCAATAAATATCAAAAATTTGCAACGCTTCTCAACACAAACAGTTTCAAAGTAAGGATTACACAACTCTCTGACAGCTCTGAGCAAAGCGAGTTGGCGCCTAGTTTGTTCCATAATCACTCGCCAGACTGTCAACGTCCGAGCACACGAACTTAAGTCTTGGGCACTGGACAGCAATTTCGACAAACCAGAAGCAAATTTATTCTAGCTTTTGAAAATAATTTTTGTATGAACCAAAAAAAATGCTGCATACCTGAAAACGTTAACTTAAGAGATGCACTCCTTTATCGCGCCCTTGCAGAAAGCCCCTTTGGTCGACTTTTCCACAGAATTTCTCTCTGCAGTCACTCTGTAACATTGTGTAAATCCTCACAGGAATGGAGCGGATGATCCTAATCCGCAGCTGTATGTTATTGCAGCTGGGTAAGCAGCATCCAACATTTGGTAGATATAGAATGAGGGACACAATAATAGATTGCCATAGACATACGTACACATTGACCAGGGAGATTTATGACGGTTTGGTAATTCATTTGAAGAATGGTTTTCAATAGTCAAGGCTTTCTTCTGTAGATAGTTTTGTCATGGAAATCACGTCTTTTTGTCCTCTTTCAGCACCCATGGGGGTTCTTAACTGTTCCACATGTGCAGCACAAACTGAAGCAGCGTGTACCGCGCTTCAGACGACAAGAGGATGTCTCATGGACCAATTGTGTCTTACACTGGAAACAGAAACCAGTTACACCAGAGATTGTTTTCCGTCTATGGCTTGTTCTTTTCCTTCCGTAATTTGTGATATCATAAACCAAACTTCCAACGGAACAACTCTGTCCTGTAATGCACAGTGTTGTAACACCAGTTTGTGCAATGCTGGAGTCTCACCAGTGATTCCAACCACTGGAGCCCCCTCAACCGCCGCTCCTTCAACTGCTGCCATGACAACAGCCGCCCCCACAACAACCGCTCCCGCCCCAACGACTGCCGCCCCAACTACTGCTGTTGGTAAGCCGGTTAAGTATTCTTATTTTCAGTTCAGATGTGGGAGATATCTAATTCTAAAAACTCGGCCCTTTCCTGGGCTGACAGCGAGTACGACGCAGGCATATTTAACAATTGTTGAATGAGGTCGAATATAATGTGAAGAATTATGCAGATCGAGGAAGATGTTCTGGATAAACCCCTCTAAGATCTGCATAATTCTTCACATAATACGACAGCCGAATTCAATAATTAGTTTATAATTCCTTCAAAATTTTTCTAAGTTCTTAACAAACTTACCTTCTACTACTACTATTACTACTACTACTACTACTACTACTACTACTACGTCAAGGCTGTATTTTAAGTATTCTTTTATTTAACCTCTATATAAACAATCTACCATATTTATTCGCAAACACACTATCTGATCCATTTGTTTTTCCTAATGGAACAAAAATAAATTCGCTACAGAGGTATTGACGCGTGGCGGGTATAACAACCTTCGGTCACCGTAATGAACGCTTCCGTAGTCGTTGCTTAAAGTCCGTAGGTTCGATAAACCGACGGGCGGAAGGACGGCAAAACCGAGAGGACCCTGGAAACCAAGTTGAGCGCGGTACCTCACCTGTTTAGGATGGTGCAAAATTTTGTGCTTTTTGCCAAGGACATATACCTTACTATACATGTAGGGATATATGAACTAACTCTCTTAAATTTAAGACAGACCATAAAAGCTTATTCAGAGCTACCAAACAACCCCCTTGCTAATAAACAGGAGTTTTCGTTTCCTAATTATCGGGACAAATTAAAACTAGCCAAAGACATCTGCGGTTTTTTTGTTTGAAAGATAGATAGAATTCGTTTTGATATTGATGCCGTAGACATCGATCCAAGCACCCGCAATGCGCTACCTCTTGATCAGGAATTAGATGCTGCAAATGCTTTTCATTACTTCCAACCTCTCTTGGAAAGCGACGTTTCTGCGCTCATCCGCATCATCAGCATTGACTTTGCTCCTGTCACTGCGGCAACAAATTTGGGGAAATGGCTCAATTCTAACTTGAATATCTAGGAACAGATCCACAACACTTGCAAATCTGGGTTTTCCATTTATACAATATTGGGTGTATCCGAAAGTATCTGTTCCAGGAATCTGCCCGCACTTGAGTCCATGCTTTTATCATTGGTCGTATAGATTACTGCGACAGCCTTCTATCTGGTTTATTGTCTGTTCATCTACTTAATAAACTGCAACGCTTGCAGAATACAGCTACTCAGCTTATATCCAATGTTTCTGGCTACAGTCACATAACACCGGTACTATGTTCGTTACATTGGCCTCCTGTCAAATTTCGTATTGATTTTAAAATATTTCTTCTTACTTCTAAAGCTTTCTACGGTCATGCGCCTGATTACTTGACCGATTTGATTGCTATTAAAGAACAGCCGCCCTATTATCTCCGTTCAGCTAGCGGTCTTATCTTAAAGTATCCTAGTTAAAAACTGAAAGAGACTTTGAGGGATCGTGCTTTTTCATCTGCTGCCCCTAATTTATAGAACAATCTGCCCCTTCACATCCGTCTTGAGGACAATTTTGAATGTTTTTAATGTTTACTTAAGACGCATCTTTTTAGAACAGCTTTTGATATGTAATGTTTTTAACCTACTATGCAATATATTTAGTGTTTTTATCTTTATTTAATTTTTGGCGTTGTTTACTTTTAGCCTTAATTATTATGCTCATTTTAGCTTTTATTTTCTTTTAACATTTACTTCAGTTGTTACACGCTTTCGATCATATTTCAGATGGAAAAGGCGCGTTATAATTTTTTAATTATTATTATTATTATTATTATTATTATTGTTGTTATTCTCTGTTCTACATTACGTCATAAAAGTTGGCTTACACTACCAGTTATGTTATATCGCTTCGAGATTCATTCTGCCTTGGAACTCTCGCGCACGGCTTTATTAGGCTGGCCTGCCGCCTCGCAGCCTCTCGTCTTTGCGAGGTTGCTCGTTGGCAATTATTATTATATTATAATTATCATTATTATTATTATAATTGTTATTGTTATTATCATCACACTCAGACACATACAATAATTGGTAATTACAGGATATCTAATACCAATAATCTATTCTCGTCACTCTCATTTTGTTAGTTTGTGGCGGTCCACTGATGGGAGTTTCCGGGTCCTTCACAACTCCGTTTTTCCCTGCCAACTATACTAATAACTTAAACTGTGTCTGGACAATCAACGTTCCACCAGGAAATGTACTCGTCCTTTCGTTTCCGCCGGATTTCGCTCTTGGTTCAGGGTGAGTCATTGCCTCTTCCAAAACCCCTGGAACAGGCTACTTTAGTCAAATGAAGACCTTGTTAGCAAAATTCGAAGCGGCACCTTTCACTGGCCGACCCTGTCCTTTAAATAACAAAAGCTTTTTCAAAAAATATATTGCTAAGTTAGTTTGAGGATAGTTCAACAAGCAATACCTTTTTATTTACAGTTCGGCGAGATAGGAATGAAAGCAATTTTTATTCAGTAATACCAAAGGAAGATTTTGCGCGGATTTTTATAAATCGAATAGATTGAACTAATACTTTTGGAGGCCTTTGGAACTCAATACCATGTTTTTCCCTTATATATTGCACAAAGCTCGCTCGAATAAAGCATAGAACTTTGATTCATTTTATGACACGTATATGGCATTATACTTGTAACCTTACTTCAAATGTCAATCATCTACTTATTTGTTTTTCTCAGAGACACTTTTACTTTTTCCGTTGGTGCCAGTACCTTTACTATTACCGACGCCGGTTTCCCAAGTGGAGGAGACGACGATGAACCGTCATATTATGACGAGTTTGTTAACCAAGACAACGGCAATTTTTATGATTATTTAAATAAACGCCTCTTTTATTACTACTATGACGGAAGACGTCGAAGAGATGATGATGATGATGGTCCTATTTCTGTCCGATCGAGGAGCCGCCAGGTAGTGATCCAAGGCTCAAACCAACCGATAATGATCCAGTTCATCAGCGACGCCAGTGGAACCGCACCAGGAATTAGTGTTACCTTCACAGACGAAAGATCTCCAGGTTAGCTTCTACTCTTATACAGACTTCCTCTTTATAAATTTTACTGTTTTGCATCGGGTTGCATGGGTTCTTTTCTCGTGTAATACAGCAGTGTCGCCCGGCAGTGCTATTAGAGCTCTTACGTTAGGCAGAAAATTGAACGTAATTATGTTCTCGGTTGTTTGCTTAGTTTAAACCTTGGCTAGAAATTGGTTGCTGTATTCTTAGTAAAAATACATCAACACACAGTAGGGCTTTGAGGAGGCACTTTTAAAACTGCTCTCGAGTTTCCATTTATAAAATAGCCCACCAGGCCAGCCATAGTGGGGGGTCCAGCAAGGGAATCCAGTGAAAGGAACATTGGGTACGCTGATTCACACCCTGATCCCAACATTCATAGCGGAGCTCTAGCACATCGGAGCACCATGGATAAGAAAGTTTGGTTATCCATGCATCCGAGAAATTTTGTTAGTCACGTCCAAACCATAGGACAACCAATGCGACATGACCTTTTTTACTTTGGGTGGAGCCTGCAAACTGTGTATAACTTGGCAACTCGGACTTTTAAAGAGAAAAAAACAACATCAAAGCCGATTCTTTTTTTTTCAACTAATTTTTAATGTCTACGCCGACATGGATAACAGAGAAAGAGCTAGAGCGAGCGATAAAAAACAAAGCAGACGAATTTCGAGACCCAATATGAAAATTTTAAAGCAGTCAGGGTGAGAAAATGAGAAAATGTTGGTAGCTAGTGAGGTGAAAATGAGGGGCAGTGAAAAAGAAAGCGAACGAACAGCAACACAAGCAACAGAATTTTTGGTGAGAACACACGACATTTCCTCAGTAAAACATGTAAATAGAAAGTTTCAGCTTGTAGTTGTGCAAAACGACGACAGAGAAATGTACAAAAAAGTGTGCTGCACGTGCAAAGTTGTTTCTTATTGTTAATAAGACCCATTGTTTTTCTTTGTTTTGCCGTTCTCGTTGCTTTCTAGTTTTAGCAGCAAACGCTTTTATTTTGGGCGAGTAAACTATTAGAGCCTGTTTACATGGAGGTGGGGGACCCTGGGTAGGTGAGGTAAAATATGGCGAGTCACCCCACCTATCATGTAAACGTGATCAAATTAAAATGAGAGATAACATAGACAAACGGGTTACCCCACCTAAGCGGGTTACCTCACCTACCTGGGGTCCCCCACCACATTTAAACAGGCCCTTATTGTAGTAACGAGAGCTTCGCTTTTAGCCCTGGCTAAATAGCATATGTTAGATCGGAGGGTTATTTAAAAAAGTACTTAGCGAAACACTTTGAATTTGGAGTAACTGAGACCAAAGAAACTTAAATCTTATGTTACAAGTTGCCTGTTAATTAACTATTTGACTTGCTGAAATAGACAATTCTGAACAAAATTATTTTTAATTTTGAATACAAGACTTAAAAGGATGGAAAGTACTGGCTGCAATAACAAAAGTCCCTGCATCTGCCCATGTACCCTTAGTAAGTTCATGAATACATCGTCACGCTGCTACTTACGGCTAATTACCGACCCGCGTGACAGGAGGACATGATAGAAACAGTAAGGATCGTCAAATAGAGGGCGACCGGATCCTGTATAACCAACTTTCAACGTAGAAACAATGCATGAAGAATGGGAATGCTGTCTCCCGGATATGGAGATCCTATCTTTCCTACCTGTTAAAAAGGGATAAAACTGGTTTTTGGTGCAAGCGCTATAGCCAAGGTTGAGGGAGAGAGAAAGGGTTTTTTAATCATCTGCGACTAATGTTATTGCTTTCATTATTAATATCTCCTCATTACTTTATAATGAGGAGATACAGATGATACAGATGACAAGAGAAAACCTTTGGATGAGTCTTAGTGAAGTGTCCGCCTGTTAAGAGATTAGGGAGCTTAAGCAACAACGGCAGCGACAGTTACGAAAACGTCACTTAAAAAAAGCAGTCCCGCTGCTTCAAATTTCATCACGCCTATCGCTCAGTTCGGCAGATGTTGGCAATTTTTTCTGTAGTTGAATTCTAAGAGACTGTATCGAGGTTCAAGAAAAGAAAAATAAAGTCGTTGTCCTGTGCTCACGTCCTCCACGAAATTCGGCATTTTCATGTCGTAATCATGCAGGGACAGCAAAGAAATGTACAAAAATGCGTGATCCACGTGCAAAGTTGTTGTTTTTGCCAATCTAAGGGCCTGTTTACATGGAGGTGGGGGACCCCAGGTAGGTGAGGTAGCCCGCTCAGGCGGGGTATCCCACCTGTCCATATAATCTCTCATTTTAGTTTAATCACGTTTACATAATAGGTGGGGTGACCAGCTACATGTTACCACACCTATCTGGGGTCCCCCACCTCAACCTGTTTTTTTTTTTGCAGTTCTCGTTGACGTCGCCGTCGTCATTGCTTAAGGTCCCTGATAAATCGTGGAGCAAATTGCGCAATTAAGTTGTTGTATTTTAAGTCTTTTGAAAGCTAAGATGATCAAGTTAGCCTGACCTTCAATTGCAGTCTTCTAACAAGATAAACCGACTTTTTTCCAGAAACATGAAAAAACATGAAAGGAAATGAGGTGTCTGCTTTTGATTGTATTAATTGCCGAGTGAAAATAATTTTCAAAACTCATGGAAAATGTTGTATCTACTGCCGTGTAGCACGTCAAGCCTTGCCGTGTTCAAGTACACAGCAGTAGCTCGACTTAGTTTCAAACGTCGTGCTACCGCCGTGCCGAACTCAATTTATAAATTATAAATACATTACAATATATTCAAAAGTTTGCTAAACCGTTTCCTTATTTGTGTGTTTTGTTTTTGGCAACAGCCGTTCCATTCGACTGTCATTGTGTGAATTAAATTCGACGTCTGAAACCAAGTCGTGCTAGTGTCTTGCTTCAGTCGAGCTACAGTCGAGCCAGCTTAGCACGGCAGTAGCACGAAGTTTGAATCAGGCCTTAAAATTGCATAAACTGCTCTTACATCAAAATATCATCACTCTAAAAATTCATACCATACCTTAGTTTGCAAACGCGAGACGGTTGTGATCCGAGGGAGAATATAATAACTTTAGCCCGTTGTTTTCACGGCGTGCCAGTATTCAACATTCGTTACTTTAAATGAGGCTATCATCAGTTAGAAAATCAAATGAAAAATGAAATTCATTCCTAAATAATGAGTAGAACGCGCGAACACATTTAAATATATAGAGAGGATATTACACGGTGGCGCGAAGATATGAATTTTATTTTCGAGTGGCAAAACAAAATTTTACGAACGAGCGCAGCGAGTGAGTAAAATATTGTTTTTGCCACGAGAAAATAAAATTCATATATATATATATATATATATATATATATATATATATATATATAATAAAATACATGTCAACATCTTAGGGCCTGTTTACATTGAGGTGGCGGACCCTAGGTAGGTGAGGTGACCCGCCTGTCCATATAGTCTTTCGTTTTAAATTGATTACGTTTACATTATAAGTGGGGTCGCCCGCCAAGGCGGGTAGCCCGGTCTGCCAGACGGGGTAACCCTCTCAGCCAGGGTCAAATTTTTCCATGTAAACGTTTCAAGGTGGAGTAACCCGCCTAGCTAGTGGCTTTGCATCATTGAAGGTAGCTATAGAAAGCCACAGCACTGAAGGTTGTAGCAGGAGCAGCAAGTGAGTGTAGAAGAGTATTAATCCCCTAAACCCCTGACTTTCCAGCATTTTTCTTGTTTACGTGCTTAGCGAACATTTAATAATCTTGAGAAAGTGCACCTCGGATAGTTAATGGTTAGCATTAAATTTGGATACACATATCCTTGATCATCCCATTTTAATTGCATTTTTTTCTTAATTTGCAGATACAGATACATCTGGTGAGAGTGGTGGAGAGAGCTCGGATGAGGAGGAGTTGTAAAATACGGCGGCTCTAGGAGATACAATTGGGGGAGTGCGTCTCCTCATGATCAGAACGAGGATAAAATTTTTTAATGAGTCTTGACTTTTAAGCTTTGATCAATGTTTGTAAAAATCGCCTAAACTGATATAATCTGAGTAGTCTAAGGGCCTGTTTACATGGAGGTGGGGGACCCTAGGTAGGTGAGGTAACATGTGGCGGGTCACGCCACCTATCGTGTAAACGTGATCAAATCAAAATGAGCGTTTATATGGACAAACGGGTTACCTCACCTACCAGGGGTCCTCCACCTCCATGTAAACAGGCCCTAATTACCCTATTTCTATAGAGCCCGTGAAATAGGTAGTAGAATACTGCGCACCATTATGCACTAATTCCACTGTCATCCTTTGTTTACTTGTGGCTATTTTGCACTTGTTGATAGTATCTGTTTTACGGCTGAAGTAATATCATTCTATGTTTTCCCTTCGAATTAACGAGTAGGTGTAGGGTGTTTTCCAGACGCCATTCTTTTGTCACAGTGTTGTATACTACTTTATTAAAAAGCCTTTACAGTGAAACTACGCTCTGCAGGCTGAAATTTTGTAATTCGTGTGGGAATTGTTAATACGAGAGAACATTAAAATTTAAAGCTCTATCCAAAGGCCTTAATGCTTCAGGAAGAGTGATTGAAAAATATGTATGCGCGCAGCATTTTTAGTTTGCATTCACATTTATTGGGATTTATTGTACAGTTATTCATGTTGCTTTTGCGTGATCGGTCATTTTACTAATTCGACCAGAATCGTCCAGGGTTTTGGTTTCTTGTGCAAATAAGGGCTTTTGTTATTGAAACTGTATAAACCTTGCTGCGCCACAGATGGAACTAAACTCTGGGTTAAGCGCGTCTGAAAAACAGCAGCAAAACCCTAGTTCTGTCCCCGCCCTCCCCCCTTCCCCACCCCTCCCCTCCCCCACCGTGTGTAACAGGGATTGAGTACATGCCAGGACTGGATTGTTAAACATGCCATTGTCCATTTGCCAATCAGGTTGAAGGGAAACTTGAAACGCATTTCCGGTATAGCAAAGATGACGAGACCGTGGCGTTTGAGTTAAAAATTTTTTTGGATTCAGTTTTAAAAATTGACTAATTCCAAAATCGAATCTTTGGCTAAAGAGCACAACTTCGTTCTTCATGAAAGCACTTTTCCTTCTAGTGGGCAATTTACATTTAATTATGTTGATTGTAAACAAGTCGCGGACATCATAAATGCAATGCCTTCTAGGCTTAAGGCTCCTGGGATTGACAAAGTGCCCAATCGAGTGCTTAAGGACAGCCTGCCGATCATACTTCCTTTTACTACGTCAATCGCTAACGCTTCTCTCTTATCTTCAACATTCCCAGAGGTCTGAAAAGCTGCCAAAATTACAGCTATTCCCAAACAAGGCAAACACGAACTTCCTAACAATAACAGACCAATTTCCCTGCTGCCTGCATTGTCAAGGGTTTGCAAGAGAGTAGCTTATAATCAGTTTGTCACCTATTTGACAACCAGTGAAGGGCTTACCACAAAACTAAGAGGCAACAAAAAGTGGTTCTCTACTGAAACATCTTTAATTGATACCACTGACGCATTTCTCAAAAGAATTGTTGGTGTTGGTAATAAATTGACTGCCTACGTACTTTTAGATATGAGTAAAGCCTTCGACAGCGTTGACCACCAAATATTGTTCCGTATAAAAAAAGAGCTTTCGGCGCCTCGAACAGCGTGCTAAAATGGGTTAACAGATACCTCACAAATAGATCAGGGGCACCCAACGAGGATATAGTTCAAAACCACTTAACATAGCATTGTTGAACGTATTTTAGTATTTAAACGGCAGATATATAGGCATATTTTTATCCCCTAAAAACTTTTCATCTGTTCGGATTTCCTAGCTGAAAGTCTAGTGATCCGAAAATTATAGGGATCAAAACTTACCTTCGAAAATTTCAGCCCGAAAAAGGCTCCCGAAAATTCTAGGTGGCCTTTTTTAGGGTAAATATCCGTTTAAAATGGGTAATTATACCATTTTGTAGATGTTCGAAAATCCTAGGAGAGGCAGGCAAGCAAGAAATTTTACAACAAATGTTCCGAAAATTCTAGTTCTCAAATAGTCTTCCGAACAGATATTTTCCCGAAAATTGCCGTTGGGTGCCCCTGATAGATATCAAGTTGTATGAATTCATAGTTTCGTTTCTGATCCTCTGTCTATTGAATGTGGTGTTCCTCAAGGCAGTATTCTAGGCCCCCTATTATTTAGCATATACGTAAATGATCTACCAGACGTTCCTCGGTATTGCTCTACAGAATGTTATGTACACGATCAAAATTGTTTGTTTCCTTCAATTTACACGACTCCCTACGGATTGTCCAAGAAATGAATGAAGATCTGCTGCAGGTGCCAACTCGTGCTTCGGAAATCGGCTATTACTGAGTCCAGACAAGACAAAACTAATTGTTTTGGGGAGCCGAAAGATGACCTCTAACCTCCATGAATGTAATTTGTCCTTTCTGGGAAAGGACATCTCCCCAGTGCAATCAGCGAGAGATCTGGTTGTAATTTTTGATCCGAACTTAACATTTTATGACCATATATCGTCCTCACTGTAGCGTATGTGTTTGTGACCGCCGCCCAGTTAGCTCAGTGGGATAAGCGCCGGTCTGCTGAGTGGGAGGCCGTAGGTTCAACCTGAATAATTGAGGAGAAAGTGCTGCCTTTGTAACAACATCTGCTAACGGTTTGACTTTCTAGTCTTCTCGGATAAGGACTATGAGCCGTCTCAGAAGCCCTTGCACATGTAATGAAAAAATCTGAGGGAAGTTAAAGAACCCACACACTCTTCGTAAAGAGTAGGGTACGTAGTGCCCGGTGTAGTGGTCTATCTCACTTTCACACTCATGTATGGGGGCATCATTACTCATTCCTTCATTACTTGTAAACTGCACCTTAAGCAGTCTGTCAAAGTCCCCTAACGAGTGTTGAAAATTATCCCTGAAAAGCCCTGAGGGGAGTGGATAATATTATATTTACACACATACAAAGTGTCGGAATGTATCGCACATCTAGCGCAAATTAACCGTGTGAAACATTGCTTAGACAAAAATACGTTATTAACCGTAATACATGCCTTAGTTTTCAACGATATGTACTACTGCTCGAATGTTTGGTCAAATATCACAAATAAGAATGTTAGAAAATTGCAGGCTGTTCAAAACTTTGCTTGCCGAATCGTCAGCGGTACGAAAAAAATATGATCAAGTAGCACCCCTCTTAAAGCTAAAGTTTAAGTTTAAGTTTAATAATACTTTGTCATACTAATACAAGTAAATAAATAATATTACAAAAAATACAAAAAGTACATGACTGGGGAATAATTGGGAAAACTAAATTCCCATACAAAGAGTATTCTCCAGTATTAAACATACTAAAAATTAAGAAGTAAAATACAAAAGGCCCATCCATACCTATCTCCACCAAGGTGAAGTTGTTCAACACAACTTGTATTACAGTATGACTATATGGCTGCGAGTCATCGGTCATCATGAGACTAGGGGACAGAGAGGGCATCCCCTATATACACCCTATTCCATAGGTAATTCGTCTCGAGTTATTTTTAGAATCGGGATAAAGTTACCTCGCGCGAGGCGTGGATGTTTCGTGGAGGTTTCGCATGACCAAACGCCGTGCAAAACATGTCGGGCGAGAGGCAATGAAAGCGTAAAAAGATCTAGAGCATTCCTGAATATTGAAGCGAAATGAGTCGGCGCTCACCTGGGAAAACTTCACCTTGGTGGAGACAGGTATGGATGGGCCTTTTATATTTTACTTCTTAATTTTTAGTATGTTTAATATTGTAACAAATAATGTAACAAAGCTAGTCAAAGGGTTGGGGTAATTATGAGATTGAGAAATCTAATTCCCTCCACGGCAAAGTTAGTACTTTTTAAATCAGCTATCTTGCCATACTTAACATACTGCCACCTTGTTTGGCATTTTTGTAGGGCTAGCGATACTCGTAGACTCGAAAGAATCCAGGAACGAGGACTTAGGGCTGTGTATAAGGACACTAAGTCCAGTTATCATCAGTTATTGAATAGGGCTAATTTGCCAACACTGTTGAATAGAGGTCTTCAAGACATATGCGTCCTAATGTACAAGGTTAAATACACTAAAATGTGTTCCGAAGCCATCACCAACATTTTTAAACCTCGTGATTCATGCTACAGTTTAAGAAATTCAGACTTTCTTTTACGCAGGTTTAACACAGTTTTATTTGGTAAGCATTCCCTTCGATATTTAGGTCCCATTTTATGGAGTATAAAGCTGGACAAAAATGATAAAACGTGTAAATCATTAAGTGATTTTAGAAACCGAATGCGTAATAAGGATCTGACATCTCTTATTGATGATGGATGCAAAGGATGTCTCCTGTGTGATAGTTGATGTCTCATCGGAAACAATTTTAGCATTTTAGTACTCAGCTTTAGTATTTTAGCAATTTGTAACATACTGTATGGATTTTTTTTTTATCTACTTAATTATTGTATCTGTTATATTTTAACTGTAGGTGTCCCCTATTAGTAGAGGGCCTGCCCCGCGGCTAGTTTTTCTTTCTTGACACATAAATACAGTTTCTATCTATCTATCTATCTATCGCTGGACTCTTTGACAACCCGTGAAATCAGTTTAACTCGAAGTTGTTGTAACCTCAGTGCTTTAATAAAATGAGAAATTTCGCCGGTCTATTGAAACCGGTCGTTTGTACAATTTAGGGAGTTTAAGATCCAACGACGCAGACGACAACTAGAACGTCAAAAAAACAGTAGGTTTAGTTAGCAAAACAACAACTTCGCACGTGCAACACACTTTTTTGTTCATTTCTTTCCCGTTTTTGCACGACTACGACGTGAAAATGCCTAATTTCGCGTTTTATGGAGGACGTAAATAAGCAACGACGAAATTTTATTTCTCTTTCTGAGCTTGAATATGGTCCCTTGAAATTCAGCTTTAGGGGGGTTCGCCTACAATTGACAAAGTAAGTGGGTAGGAATAATCGCTATAAAGACTGAAATAAATAAACATCAAACCAGAAATTTCTCTTCAAACTGTAAATTATAAATGATCCTGAGAGAATATTCAGTGTGTTAAGGATTTCCCTGCTCTACTGTTAGCTCTATACAAGAGAGGAAGGGCGATTCTTTTTTAATTTCGGTTTCGCCGACACAGCTTTCGCAGAAATCTCGCTGTAGTCGTTTTCGTCGACAAAAGGAATAGCAAAATCGCTCTCCGCGTCTTCCCCCATTTTGTTCTGCGTCATTTTGTGAAGGACGCGTGGCTCTCAGCGTGGGTCATCCACGCGGAACAGCGTGGGTCATCCACGCGGAACACATTCGCGCTATGCGATTGGCTGTTGTCTAATCCCCCTTGAGATCTGTGGTGTTAAAAATAACTCGAGACGAATTACCTATGGAATAGGGTGTATATGGGGGATGCCCTTTCTGTCCCGTTTATAGTCTCTTGCTTTCACTGAACATATCAACGAAATGTGCAAGAGGTGAGGTGGATTGCTGCCAAGGTGAAGTTGTTCAACACAACTTGTATTACAGTATTACTATATGGCTGCGAGTCATTGGTCATCATGGATTAA